GGTTGCTGAGGTGCTGCTCAATCCTCTTGGTGAAGACGACGACGATTTTGAATGCAATTACATATTGGACCGTAATCTGCAGGTGGTATGACTCCGGGATTATTAGATCTTCTTGACCAATCAACGTTTACAATACCGCCACTAACTTTTGAAATTTCTCCGCTGAGCGACGGATTTGCAGCGTCGCAAAGCGTCGCCCCTTCATAACTCCCCCCAAAGCGGGTCAAATGATTGGTGCTCTACACCATTGGACTCGTCTCTCTGTGGCGAGTCTAACCATGTGGAATTCGCGCTTCTTTTTCGTTTTTTCGTTATAACTCGCTTCAGAATTAAGATTTTCGAAATCTGAAAAAAGCATTGAACTCAGCTCGTCGAGTTCTATAAGAATATGCTTTTAAACTTTTGGAAAGCCTTACTTCAGATTGCGCCATGCACTCGAGCTTTGGCTCGAGAAAAAACTGTTTGAATGTGGTGCGCATATAATCCCGCTTATGCATCATGATCGTTCTTCAGAGAGATGGGTCTCAGCAGTTGCCCCAGAACGCGCCGCGTATTCAACATCGTCCATTGTATTGTGAATGGATCGATTGCTTTTTTCCAGATTTCATGGTCCCTATTCCACAGCGGCGCGTTAAATGACTTAACACGTAGTCCCTGCGCTCAACATCTCCTCCTCTCGTGTTCAAATGGAAATCATAGATCAATTCTCGGCTGGACAGTTAGCCTATCTGGTGAAATTTTCCAATGTTTGAGCGAAGGTTTTTCCGAAATCTGAGGAGGTAGCGGGGAAAATTCTTCTTAGTTGTAGAGTACGCTTACTTGTGTGTAGGAATAAGATCACACACTTGCTTGCAGATGACCGCTCCCTGCGTGCTGTGGCCATGAACATGCCTCCTCGTCATGCCCTAGCCTATTTGGTGAAATTTTCCAATGTTTGAGCGAAGGTTTTTCCGAAATCTGAGGAGGTAGCGGGGAAATCTCTTCACTGTTGTAGAGTACGCTTACTTGTGTGTAGAAATAAGATGACATACTTGCTTGTAGACGAGCGCTTCCGCCGTGCTGTGGCTGTGAAAATGCCTCCTCGTCATGCCCTTGTGGAAAGATCAGATTTTTTTTGCATTTCCAGATGAACTCGCAGACCTGAAATGTGCCCCGTTAGATTCCCCGTGAAAAATGCTATCGAATGATATGCATTACTTCCCCAGTTGAAACTTTGGTTTTTCACCGTTTTCAGCCTTCCCCTATTGCCGGATTGGGCCACCCACTGATTACTGCCCCAAAATCTCAAAGTTTCATTTTTCGTCGAAACTTTGTCTATTGGGGTAATTCGATGCCCTGATTACGAATATGACATTCATTTTTGATGCTGGTGTCATTTGGCGCCAATTGGCGCCAAAGACGATTTCGCGTTTTTTTCGTTTTTTCGTTATAAATCGGTTTAAAATTAAGATTTTCAAAATCTGAAAACAGCCTTGAACTCAGCTCGTCGAGATCTATAAGAATCCGAAGCAAGTGTGTGATCTTATTCCTACACACAAGTAAGCGTACTCTACAAATAAGAAGAAATTTCCCCGCTACCTCCTCAGATTTCGGAAAAACCTTCGCTCAAACATTGGAAAATTTCACCAGATAGGCTAACTGTCCAGCCGAGAATTGATCTATGATTTCCATTTGAACACGAGAGGAGGAGATGTTGAGCGCAGGGACTACGTGTTAAGTCATTTAACGCGCCGCTGTGGAATAGGGACCATGAAATCTGGAAAAAAGCAATCGATCCATTCACAATACAATGGACGATGTTGAATACGCGGCGCGTTCTGGGGCAACTGCTGAGACCCATCTCTCTGAAGAACGATCATGATGCATAAGCGGGATTATATGCGCACCACATTCAAACAATTTTTTCTCGAGCCAAAGCTCGAGTGCATGGCGCAATCTGAAGTAGGGCTTTCCAAAAGTTTAAAAGCATATTCTTATAGAACTCGACGAGCTGAGTTCAATGCTTTTTTCAGATTTCGAAAATCTTGATTTTGAAGCGAGTTATAACGAAAAAACGAAAAAGAAACGCGAATTTGCGTTTTTCGCGTGTTTTTTTTTTTCGATTTTTTACGGCGAGTACCGTAGTTTTCCACATGGTTAGACTCGCCACAGAGAGACGAGTCCAATGGTGTAGAGCACCAATCATTTGACCCGCTTTGGGGGGAGTTATGAAGGGGCGACGCTTTGCGACGCTGCAAATCCGTCGCTCAGCGGAGAAATTTCAAAAGTTAGTGGCGGTATTGTAGCCTGCGTTAGCACCACGACTTGATTGACTTATCATTTTTAACTCGAACTTTTTTGAAGCGGAATTTGGTTGAAGTCTTCATCTAACTCTTTATTTTGCTTACATTCGCTTCCTTCACCTTCGCCTGAGCTTGAAACGTCGATAGACCATCGACAGCGATTCTCTCTGGTGCCAAGCGATCCTGAAGGCAGCTTCTCTACTAAAATAATAAACTTTCGCTCAGTGTTAGTTGACTCAAGAGCGCTACAACGTTAACAAGGATCTCGGTAGATCATCCACGACTCCAGAATCGATGGTCTCTTTATCATGACCCGATAGCTACAGAAAGGATTGCATCAAGGATGCTTGCCTCAGTAGAGTTTTTGGCTCGTCCTAAGTTGCTTTTCCAAATTTTCTGGCAATAACGAAAGAGCGAGATTAGAATGGTAAGTCTCATGAAGTAATACGGCAAGTGGAGAGACGTGAACAAAATATTCAGTCCGAACATCCCAGCCCCCGTACGAATTAATTTGATATGGTCGGCTTTCGACTTACGCTCATCTTGAATATGCAATTGCTGAATTCTTTTTTTCAGGTCGGACTCAACGTCGTCGACAAAGCCTACGACACCTTCCCAGAGATGGTTCGTGATGATTTCTGGGAGGACAGCTTACCCGAACCGCTCTACACAGCCGAAAGCGCTCAAAGACCAATCAATCCACAAGTCGGAAGCTGTGTTGATATGTATGTCCATCCGGAACTTTCTAGCTGTAATTTTAATTATGACATAAGACACTAACGCTGATACAACGCTTTCGTAGCAGATGACTGCCCTCTAGAAAATCCTTTTTCTAGGAGGATATGTAGCTACGAGAAGCACACAGAGCGCTCAGTTTTGATGGAGCTGGGTATTCGATTTAGCTGGGGGAATAGCACATGTCCTCGGACCTTGAGTTTACTTCCCTAAACCACCTACCTGGATACACATCCAAATGTTTGTTTTATCTGAATTTATATCAGCAGGGTCACTTACGGGAGGCTAGATCATGATGTGAATTCAGGTAGATGATCAGTAGCGGTCAAGTGTTCGCGCGAACGATTTTCAATGGCACTATTTTTCCTCGCTCGGAACAACGCCCTCCAAAATTGATATACTGTGCTTCTAGTGTTTTTATATCCTCAAGTTTGAAGAATCAGGATATTCAAGAAAAAATTTTTTCGAGGCCACCATTGATTTTTCCCGCAAAAAAAAAGAGAAGCACGAAGAAACCGTTTCGGCGAACACTTTTGACCGCTACTGTATGATGCCATTCACCCCGATTTCACATGTAACGATGAATGACCAGCGAATTTCGGGGATCTGATGATGGTAGTTCCGAAGGTAAGAATGGAAAACACAGTTGAGCTGGAAGAGTTAGATCTAGTCTCAGCATGATCAACTCAGATTTCTTAGAACAGGTGGGAAGCCAACATGGCAAAATGCAGTGCTATTCAACTTTAAATTCAGCTTTTTGCTTCTTCGACAAATAGAGACTGGCAATTCTTCGCATGTGGTTTTCATGACTGCTTTTTAGAGTTTGAACTAAAAGAGTGCTCGAAGGGGAAAATTAGTAATAAAGAACATGAAATTTTCTCTATTATAGGAGTACTCATGAGGAGCCGTTCATGATTCATCCGCGACGTCGAACGATTTCACGCGCATCACATTGGGACGGCGAGGTGGAAAACGATGATATGGTGCCTGTGATTGGGAATGACAAACCCAGAGACAACAGGTTACTTTTCCGCATTTTCGCTTCGACTTCCTCCATTGTTTTGCCTCGAAGGCAGGTATCGATTTTCTTACATGTGCTGCAACAGCTTTGACGTGAAAATCTGGGTGAACGGATAAAGTTAGTAAAGTTTTTTGGAAGTAAAGCTTCAAATCAGTGATAAGTAGAAGCAAATCGCAGGCAGAGGGAATCCGTGTAAAGGATGTACTGGTGTTTGCACGCAGTCGTCACCCCAAGTTTAACACATTCACGCCGATGGCCGCCCATATGGGCTGCCAACAACATGCGCTCCTGGGACGATGGCAGCCCATATGGGCTGCCAACTGATAATCGCTTGCCAGGCGCTAGGAATGGACAGATAGGTGGGCAAACCTCGTAATCGAGTGTAAAATGCTTTTAAATTCCTTCACGGGGAAAGTGAATAAATGCTCTCTTTTCGTAACCACTATTTGTCGTTCTGATCGAAATCCTACTGTTATATGTTTAGATAATCTTTACGCATTGGACATTGCAGAAATTATTTTGTGACATTCATGTTTTTGTTCATTTACAAAACAAAATCTGCGGTTATGTGGTGAGGCGGCGGCGCCCACAAAATCGCGTCCGTCCCACGCGACCGAAACCGTCGTGAATATGTTAAGTGAGGACCACTTTACTGGCAAAACGATTCTGACCAAGGAGAATTTGCAGGAGCTCAATGGAGTGTGACATCTACAGTGTACAGGGTGGGCAAAATTACGGTAGCAAAAATGTAAAATGGTCTTAAAGGCAGAATTTACGATGAAAAGTCGCTCATCAAAAATAAGGGTCAGTGGGCAGGGATGAAGGAGAAACCATTTGAAACGACCTGGAACCCGAGAAGAATGGGTCACCTTCCTTGCCCGCTGAATTTGCGCATTGATGCGACTCGCAATCGCTATGCCTCTCAGCATTGGCCCGGGGTTATAGCCTCTCTCTGCTATCCCAATCAATCGCCACCGTACTAGACATGGCGAGCGAGTGAATGAGATTGCCGGTGCGTGTCACCCTGACAACGCGCCACCCACACGACTGGCAGGGCGAATAGATCACCGGGCGCTCCCAGTTTTCGCCTAGGGCCGATTGGCGCTAAGGTACTCCACCCCTCAGGAGGTCGCCTGTCTCCCGACTATGAACTTTCTTCGCTTCTTTGACCTTCGTTCTTCATCTTGATCTCTCCTTGAACAATGTCGCCACTCAAAGTCCCTGATTCAACACACTGATCAATTGATATTAGTTGAAAGGTTGCAAAGAAGGAAGCCATAATCCTCTCGACTGTCGCCTTTTGTGTTGATTACATGAACACAAAACTTCCCTAGAGATTGTCGCCGTTGTGGAGGTAGGTGTTGTCGAGTGGGTCCAAAGCTTTCAAGAACATCTTTCCAACTTGTCGATGTTCTTTACTATGCGTGTAGCAGTGCTCCACCTTTGGCATACTCAATACACATTACTTCATAGGAACTGAGTCGGTTGACCTATGCTGCACCTCTTCAATACGATGAATTCAACGATAATCTATCGGCTTTAAGTTTTGGGCATCTGCGCATTGTGGATGAGCGCCCAGCGCCTCTTCTGTAGTGAAAGTACTTTCGCTGATGCTTTGATTACTGCTTGTCAACGCGTTGTTATTCTCTTCTTCACAACATCAATATATAACATTGTCTTACCATGAGTATCTTGTCAAGTGGACACCAATTCGCTTTCCCGTCTTCGGGGTCGCACAAGAAGGATATCAAGGAATGTCTCAAATGCGATTGCAGGCCGTCCGACAGATATCAGTGAACAATTGTTCTCCTTCTTAATAATGTCGTCTTCTCGTCGTCGGGGAACGCATTCAAGACCAGTAATCGCATTGAAAACCACCCCAGCTTCGCCCCGGCCTTTAAATAATTCTTTCTTGTCAGCGTGTTACGACTTCTTCCGGCCTCCTTGGGCACGCAGGCGGATCTCGGACGATCAACAATTGCAAACGCATCAAACTAATGGATGACTATCGCCTAGAAGTAGCCAAGTTCCATGAAGACTATAATGGCGTATATACAAATAGCGCTCTAAAGTTTTAAGGAAACGTTTTTGGATTGTCACATTTTGTTGCCCGATCAAATCACTTCAAATTTTGACATATGTTGAAAGCAAGCACCCCCCCCCCCCATGACCTTCTTCAGTAAAACACCCCACCCCACCCACACCACCCACCACCCCCCACACCCCCTCCACCCCAAACCGACACCCCCCCCCCGATGAGACCACCGCAGCGTAGTCGTTTTGGATGGGAGAAAGAAGGAAAAATGAAAAAAAGCTACTGTATTTGTTGTGTGAAAGTTCCCGAGTACGACCAAACTCCAGGTAAATTCCAAATTTTTGTAAAAGCTTGCAGTCTGACAGTCTGACAGAACAATGGAAAGCACGCCAAGTAATATCAAGCAGATTCGACAGTTTGTTGGTAGTCTTCTTAAGTGGCTGAAACGTTAACAGAGCCTATGTGTGATATCTGTGAATGAATTCACTATCTATGTGTTGAGGCCAGTTCCTCTGTTTTCATTCAAATTTGAAAGCTGTTGCGGGTGACTAGAGACTTAGGGTTATGTTGGACCCTTTTAATCACCTCGCGGTGGTTCAGTGGATTTATATGAGGAGGAAAACTATGTACAGAGAGAAGAGTTGAACGCCTTTATTGTATGGCTGCAAGAGAAGGTATATGGTTGTAGTATCTGTTCAAGGTTATCTTTTTACACTAACTTGAAATCCTCTTCTAATTTGGTCTACTTGAGAATTTTCAGTGAATATTTCTATCATTTTCACAAAATGCTGAGTTATTAGCAAATTTTCGTCCCAGGCGAGACTCGCACCTTACACTTACAGGGCAAGCGCGCCTAAGTAAGCCTTGTTGGGACCCTTTTCACCCTAATTCAGCTTTTCATAGTATATTTACTTACCACAGCTTGTATGTGCTCACACGTGCAACGTGGTGAACCGGTTAGCCGACATCGGCAGTGAACTGGAAACTTTAGCAATCAATTTTGACTTGTTTTTCATTTGTTAACTGCTGTTTTTGGCCGCAGTTCGCCTTGCGAATGTTTCACAAGAATGCTGGGTTATGAACAAAACTTTCGCCCCAGGCATGGACTCGAACCCGCACCTTCGCTTACCACTCAAGTGTCCCCGAATTACGCTGCCGTGGCACCTTTTCTCATTTGAAACTTTCTTTAAGCGAACTGCAGCCGTAACGCGGTCAGAAATCAGAAGTGAGGAAAACTTGCATACACTCTTCACTTTCTCTTCCTTTAAACGAATATGCTGGTTGAGCATAAGAGTGGCCCTCCAAACATCAAGTTTTGAACCAATTCAATCCTTCAGAGAAAGAAGTAACCGTCGTCGAGCGCTATTGCGTATATTTGCGGTTTAGGCACTCAAGTCCACTTTTCAGTCATAGCAGCTCGTCGTCGTTGGATCGCTTCGATGAAAGTTTCCACAATAAAGTTAATCCGCCAGGTCTGTATCCACAAAACGGCTCCAGCAAATTCAGCAGATCGGTACCTGACGGGATGAAGATGGCATTCGATGAAACGGGACCGAAATCGGTAGGCCAGACAGCACTTTTGTTAACAAATAAATGAATAAAGAAGTAAAAAATAACGATCACAACAAAATTAAAGGAAGTAGTGAAAATGGTGAACAGTAAAAGCACAGTGGTGGAACGTAGCACATGCATTAAAGGAGGAATTCACGATTAGAATGAAGGTCGAAGAAAGGGAAACTGACCTAGTTGAGGGACCCACGGACCTCCTGAGGGTGCGAACTGACGCGCAATTCGCATGGAAAAATTTGACCTCGGCGACCTATCATGCCTCAAAGCTGGCGGGTCCGGCGATCTCCGCCCACCGATCATCTGATCACTCGCCGTAGTTCAATACGTGGCGAGTGATTAGATAGCTGAGAGAGCGTAGTGTTGAAGAGGGCACAGCGATGAGAGTCGCATCAATGCTCGAATCAACGGGCAAGGAAGGGGTCCCATTTCTCGGGTTCTGGGCCGTTTCTCATGGTTCTTCCTTCTTTCGTGTACCACTCACCATCGCTAGGTTAATTTGAAATGGGTTTTTTTTTTTTGTTGCTTTTTACATCGTGAATCGTCCTTTTGAGGTTGATCATACTGATTACTCGCACTATCGTAAGTAACTTTAATTGGGTTTTCTTTCTCTTTTTCTTTTCTTTTTGATTTTTTCCTTTATGCTCTCAATATTTCTCCCTCCATCTTCTCTCTCCCCCTTCCATTCCCCGGCATATGGCACTTCAAAAACTCCTTCTGATTCAGTCCCCAAACTATTGGTGGTCACTAATAGATAAACACTCCGTTAATAGAGTAAAATAAATTACACGTATTAACTTCAATAAAAGGTTAGTATTTCAGCCAAGGTCACCGCCTCCTGGAGGTGTGGCGTGGTTTGTGGACGAGCTGGGCCGTGATTTGCAGAAGAAGCGACCTGAAAAGCGGGCGCATATCCGGAGAAGGTAGGCGTGGACTCAAGCTTGTGGGCATTCATATACCACCTACACAACTCGTAATTCGCTCTCCTTGCATTCAGTCTAGTGATGCAAGTTATGCTTGATTTAGTGGCAGACTAGCCTCGAAATGGGGACGAACGGAACGAAGCGGAGCGTCACGACAAGCGATGTACATAAATCACTACTAATTCTAATCTAGTTACGTAGCACCAGATTTGCGTCATCAGTCAGTTGCAAAGGCGCACATTTCTCCTCGTGAACTGTACCACACCCGGGGAATTCTGACGACTCGCCGTGCTCCCAATCCTTCAAAATGTGCTTTTTGAGAGATGCCCAACCTTGTAGAAAAGATAAATTTAAGAACCCGCTTACGAGACTTCGTAGGAGTTGTGGAGACTCAAAAGATCAACCGACAATCGTACAAAGGGTGTAATTTCTGGAAAGACCGTGTTCAACGATGCAGCAGAAGCTCCTGGCGATACCTCAGACTTGTTTTAGAGGAAAAAGTTATCGGTATGGCCACAGGTTGGCTTCCCGAGTACTCCTGTGAATAGCCGTTCTCATTATTCGGCTTTGAAGACTACATATTTGAGCCAAGAAGCTCTGTTGATTTACTGTGAAGCTGACGCTTGATGAGTGTCATAATCTTTTAATATTTTTTTCTGGCAATCACTGTAACTCGCTGCATTGGAAAATCAGTGGTTTTCCATCCATCACTTGATAGTTTTTTTTTCGGAAAGAGACTGAATTTCTGAATTTCTGAATGATCTGAGAAAAAAACTGAATTTTTGTCATTTTGACACACCCGTTATCAAAAATGCACAATGTACGAAAGCATTTCTTTTTACAGATTCAATGAGCAGCAGTCGAAGTGGCAGCAGTTCCAGAACAGAACAGCGTACCCGAGAGCACTCGCTGGATGTCCTGCCTTCCGTCTCCGAGAAGGAAGAGAAAACGGAATCGAAAGCGAAAGTCGAGGAGAAAAATCCTTCAGAAGACCAAAAAGAAAGCCGACCTTAAAGCAGATTTCCTCGATCTTTCGGTTCATTGGTTCAGAAGCAGCGAACACGTGCGGACTTCACGACGTCACAGACGTATCTTTGAATCCCATCATTGAACATGATTAGAATCTCCGCTCTCGTAAGCCATTACCATTGCAATATGTTACAGTTGTACTGGTTCGCTTCTAGCAATGGCTTGTTTTATCTGTTGCTACCACTGTTCTCGCAATCTCTGGCTGGGACATAAATATCATCGCAATGCCTCACAAACTCACCTTTTCTCTTACACTGATCTACCGAAAGCGTTACATTGCTTCGATCGATGCGTGCATATTTGGTACAAATAAATGCTGGATAAATTAAAAGTTTTACAAACACGATTTTTAGTGCACTGCAGATACCGTATACATTACCACGGTCTCTACAGAGAAACAGAGTTCAAAACCGGCTGGTCGACTTATAGAACTGCTAGCACTACTCGGTGTGTGTTGGCGTGTCGATTGCTTAGTAAAGAGTGGTTGTCTGTGAAGATATGTCAACAATTATTCCAACATCGAATTAGGTAGCCTAGCTTCATTATCAAAGGGAGAATATTCAATGCAAATTCAACTAACAAAAAAGTCAATAATTTCTAGCATGGAACACACCAAAAGTAGTTCTGGCATCTTTATTTGTTGAATATAATATGGACCAGCATTCTTTTAACTTCCAGACGATGCCACAACAAAGCTGAAGCACACTTAGTCGCAGTATCATATGGTGATGGGAACTTCTTAAAAAGAACCCTTTTTGTAATTGAACCTATCGTGTTACTCCTCTCAGATTATGGCCACACTCTCATGCTTCTCGTCGATGCTGAAGGAAATAGTGGGACATTTTTGAGTTTTTTTTTTCGAAAAATGACATCATTCAATTCCTTCAACTATTAAAGGATTCACGGACGGATGCAGTCACCGTATCCTTTCTGCGCGACATAAAGGATAAAGCATAAAATTTGCCGTTGATCAATCCCTTTTTGGGATGCGGCACGCATTCTACTTCCATTTGTACATTCGTAGTGGCGTTTGAATGCGATGTGGCCTATACAATGACTTGCGGGGGCCAGCCGATGTACAAGTCAGTGTTTTTATCCTCCCAGACAAGTCTGGTAATAAACTTCGTATAATAAATAATAAATAAAGTAGTAAAAAAATCGACCCCGGAGAGATGGAAGGCTTGGTAGGCTCTTGGACGACGCTCAACCCAGAATTCGGACCCCAGACAGCACGCATGGTAAGCGTGCCACTTGCCACTATGCCACTGCCGCTTTGCACGACATATGTAGAGGCATAAATGGACTACTATAAAATTCTTCAATACATTACCTGTACACTTTTAGCCGTATCACCCACAGTTATTACGCTACTGTGTGGAATGTGGATGGAGGGGCGTTGAGTGATAGCGTATTCGCGTCTACTGCTTGGAACGACAGTTTCTGGATCTTTTCTCCAACAGTGGAGCATAATTCATCTCAAGCTTTCATACCTAAGCTATCTTACACATCTGCATGATTTTTACAGACTTTCATTCATATTTTTCACATCCAAATTTTTGGAATCTCTCCCTCTAGGATGTGTTCGAAAGGATCTGAATGAAGAATGCTCTAGAGATATCGAAAATACGAATGGTAGGTTACAGGGTATTAAGATAGTCAGCTGAAAGGACCAGATACGTATTGATCAGGGTAGTAGAGAATCAGATGATTTGGCAGCTCTAGTCGAACCAATCAATGAATATGAAATCATTTCAATGCAGTTTCGGTTCCTATGGAAAATCAATGCAGTTTCAATTACTATGTAATATCCTGATCTACTGATTTTCTACTATCTTCATAGCATTCTCAAGATTAAGGCATGGTCAACTGTTCCGTCCCCCATCGTGGTGGACTGGCGGAGATGTGTTGATGTTGTGGCCCCGTTGCGGCTGTAAAGTGCGCGGAGAAGGGACTAGAAGTTTGCCCGACGCGCAATTTACACCTTGGTCCGCAAGTCCCGCCTTCCTGTGTGGGATTCTGCTGGCGCCTGCGAGAGTAGCGCGACCGCGGTTGCGGCAGTGCTACATTGTGGTTCGTCATGGGCAGTGGAACAGCTGAGCTATCCGTTTGTGAAATTTGTCCACACATGCCGTTGCTTCATCCAAAGGTGGATACGACTGAAAGAGCGGAGTGCTTCGTTCGAGGCATGATCGGGGTCCTCTTTTTCCTTCTTTTTCATTTCAAGACTACTCCCCACCTTCATCCCCATTACTGAATGCTCCACCCATTCTATCCGGGTGTTTCCTTTACTATTCAGAGCGACCACCCCCAGTAGAAGTAGTGACGAAGAATTTATTCAGTGAGTGGAATAGAGTAGTCCACGAGTATCACAGATGTGCCATTCCCGCGGCTCAAAAGTGCGCGGAAAGTGCTAGGGGTTTCCCAAAACGAAGTTTGGCGTCTAGTGTTAACCTGTGGACGAGAGACCTCGTGCATATCCCACGATAAGCAACGTAGATTACGATTAGCCACTACCTTAATTATGCGCTGGGTAAAGGAGTCGTAGAGCCTGTTCGTAAAACTCGTCCGACACGCCTCTCCTGCGTTTCCAAGGGAAAGGAAGGGAATCCTTGTTTAAGGGCTTCATCAGTAGTTTTCCTTGCCCATTTTTCCATTTATTGAATTCGGCGTCCACAACTCCATCGACCGCAATTTGATTTGGGTGCGTTTGCTTTAAAGGCACAACCCAAGCAGAAGTCGGGCGAATGTGTTCCTTCGTTATGTTGGGTAGAGCCCTAGAGGACAATCACAGTGTGGCCCTCCCGTGCATGAAAGTGGCCTGCGACATTGCAGCTATGATACAATACGAAGCGTATCTAATCTTTCATGATGTCACACTGGACGTTTAGTGGTTTGAAACAGGATCATCGATATTTACAAAATGCTTCGTGGCAATCCCCTCCCACCTCGCTGCAGGCTGCAACCAAAGGTTACATTTCACCCTACACCAACATTTGCAAACATTTCCCTGTTTCTGCGCCCTCTCGGAGCTCAACTATGTACATTTCCTCGGTAAAGTTCGCTCACTTCGGTGCACTTTCACTTCCGGTAGTGCTTGATCGCCCTTCCTCTATCGGTCTCCACCCACTTTTTTCCCAGTCTGTGAGCAGTCTCGAAACCGAGCTACTCAGCGAACCATCAACGTTTAGCCAATTCTCTAACCTCCACTCCTACCTGTTTCTTGTTATGGGACTTCTGAACCCCTATTAGATGGGTTTGTGAACTACATTGCCCATTTGAGGACGCCCACTGTGGAGGGCTACCGCTCAAGTTCAGGGGCTAGACAAACCTTGGATGTTGCCCTAAAACAGCGATTTTCTTCCGCTCTGTAGGCTTTTCCTTATAGAGAAATAAGGTTTCATTGAGCACGTCTCATTTGGAGAGCGTTCCGCCCACGCGATTGAGTCTTCCTTTTTCGACCTTATTCAGTGCCCACCATAAGACTTTCTTTCCAGATCTTCGGAAAATTCTGTAACCGAACCTGAAACTTTTACGTCGACACCGCCCTATCCGACGCAAGTCCCACCCGCTGCGAGCGGTGACCCTTCCCAACCCTTCCCAAACTTGACCCGGGCTATGCAGATGGTTTTGCGGTGGTACCGAATCTGAAAAAAAAAAAAACGAAAACAAACAACAGATAACAAAAAACAGGAAAATTTTCTATTAAAGTCTTCGCAGAACAAAAAATCACACACTCTTCGTCGAGGTTTGAAGTGAACACTTGATCTACCCTTATCATTGTGAGCCTAACTTTAGCACCTTTTTCATTGAATTGCTTTTCGCTTGTCATTCATTTGAATGCTTTTCGACGATTGTCATTGTTCCTCGTAGAATGTATGATGAAGGGACAAGTCATCTTCAAACTTGTCTTGGTAGAGGATCAAGCAGAGGAAGAACTACACTTTCGTGCATTAGGGTTAAAGGGGTGCGTGACTATTCAATCGTGGCGATAGCTAGGTCGCCGCGCCAGCCGCCGCAGCCCGCGATGCGACGTCGGCCGTGGTTAGAATTCAGGGTTCTAGCATTGGGGAATGTAGGATTAGATGAAGTTCCCAGTCGTGAAACACGGTATATGATCACCTGCCCCTTAAAATACAGGATCCTTGTCCTTTGCCATTATTACAAACTTATTCTGTCATACTGATGTTAATGCCTTCCTCACCGTTCCACTGCGTCTTGGAACGTAATATTTTTCCGATTTAGCCAGATTATCGCTCTGTGATAACAATTCAGGCAGTTGATCAATAAAGAAGTCTCATTATGTTCAAAAGGACAACCTTTACATCGCACAAGCTCTGTACAGTGAGGCTTAAATAACTGCGGAGATCTTAAGGTGACTCTTGTTGGCTCACTGATGTCTGGAACTTTGGTCTTATCAGTTCTCTAACCCCACCAGCAACTTATGGACAAGGACCGTTAAGCCAAGGCCCATACAAAAATCGCCGCACCATTTGCCGCGCGCGACGCTGCCCGCCGCGTGAGCGGCGTGACCTCATTAGCCGACGATTGAATTGACCGTCTCCCCTTACAAGCCTTGGTCTTGTGTAGCTCTTGCATTTCATTTTGCAACGCAAACGTTCGAAGAAAAAAGGCAAAAACTAATCAGGGCTGTTCACTTTGTCATTATTTGTAACTTTTATTCTGGTGGACACTTAGTACGGACGTGCTCTTCTCTTACCACAGATTACACATGACTTCATTATGTGCAGACACGTCACTAAAGAGATCGAACTTAATATCAGCTAAAATTGTTGAAGTCTCCAAATGAAACACATGCTTTGTTACTGGTTTTCCTTTCGATCATCGATTTTTTACTCGTCGAAGTTTAGCACATCGAAAACCTCAGCGAGTATATGCAGATCGTTTCATACTGCGTAATCCTTCGTATATTTTAATACGTCGGAAAGAGCGGGTGCCAGTCACATGATTTCGACCCACCAAGTGCCTTTTTATGTCTTGGACTCGCTTACGAGTCGTTAATGTTTTACAAGAGCATGACGTATATCCTATGAATGTCAAACTGTTCTCGTTTTCCAAACTAATAAGATTGCCTGCTTCAAACTACGATTTACTTGTTTATTTGACAAATAAAATTTCGGCTTTGAGAAATGCCCTCTTCTTCTCCTGTTCGTCTGAATTCGCTCAAACTCGGTACCTCTTTAATCCTTTCACATCGTTCCATCTCTTGTGATGCATAGGTACCTTTCGCGAGCTTCACGCTGATAAACAGCCCCCGTCGCGAGTTCTGCACACCACAGCGTCCATTTCTCACCTACATTTGAATAAATAGAAAAGGCTTATTATTCTGTTCTTACTTTTACGCCCTGATCATAAGAGGTTATTCACAGTAAGTATCACAAGAGATTCAAATGAATTCGGTTCATGCAGTGACTTCGAAGTTACCCGAAACCTCAGATTCGGTGATAAATTTGCCCATAATGAGTTGCGTCTTTTCTGGGCACGACTATCTCATAAGTTCAACATAAAATCACTTGGAACGTGCCAATACGGGAGCTTTAGGCAATCATACCCAAAGAAGCAGTGAAGCGCTTGTCTAGAGAAAGCATCCGAGGGCGGCGAACAGCCTTTATAGTTCCACTTACCAGGGAATGCTTCCAACTTCCCATGGAACTTTGGATGGAGACCCAGGCAATCGGTAGAGTACTGAATACTATTCACAGATATGTAGACCAAAACTGCTACGCGACCTTTCTAGGCAAGTTGTGAGCGGTCAAAGTTGGCAAGAAATGCAGTAAAAAAGTGAGTTGCGGCACCAAACTGGCGCCAGATCGCCTCTGTCTCAAAAATGAATGTCATATTCGTGACCAGGCCATCTGTTTACCCCTATACTGTTTCAGGAAAAACTAAAAACGCCGATGCGGTTAGATTAGCTCGCCTCCTATACTGACGCTACCCTTCCTGTCAACTTTGACCGCCCACGATTTGCTTGGAATGTTCACGTAGCAGTTTTGGTCTCAATATTTGTAACTAGCATTCATTACTCTATTGATTCATCCCAGTCTCCGTTCATAGCTCCATGGGAAGTTGAAAGCATTTCCTGGTTAGAGAAATGTCCCTGCTTAGTATTTTTGACTTGAGGGTTCAAGGAACATCCGACAGTATGCGTAACCCGCGAAGTTCCCTCGGCTGAGCAATGAGTGCTGTAAGCTACCACGATAGAAGCGCATAATTTCCTTTGTTGACGATAAAATAAGCGGCTCCGAAATGGGGAAGAACTCATTTTATTTCTTGTCTTTGTGACAACTCGCTCAAACACAATTCTCCGAATGAAGTTTTCCACCGCTTCTCCTATTGTCAATATAATCTTTCAGTTGAAATCAACAAACTATCATAGCTCAGTGCGCGGTGCTGAAATTCTGATTGTATTGCGAGTTTTTCTGCAGTCAACAGTGTTGGAGCAGGATGACAGTCACCTACACCTTCAACGTCGCCACCTCAAAGTTTTTCACTTTTCATCACTTGTTGTTCAGGTGGAAGGTGAGACGACTACATTTACTTACGCAGTATTTAGGAATTGGAAGCAGTTTTTCAATACAATGTCACTTTAACACGAATTCACGATTAAAAGTTGAGCGAAGCACGTAATTCACCTAGTTGAGGCCCGGACCGCTCCTAGGGTGCGGACTGAAAGCGCAAATTGCACCGAAGAGTTGACCTCTGCGGATGCTATAGTGAGGCTCCATCTGGAGCGCTTGTCCTCGACCTATTAAGGCTCAATCTTGGCGCGGTGGGCCAGTGCACGCCCACCGATCATCTGATCACTCGCCGCAGGTCTATAGTGATTAGATAGGTGAGAGAGCGTAGTGTTGAAGAGGGCACAGCGATGAGAGTCGCATCAATGCTCAAATCAACGGGCAAGGAAGGGGTCCCATTTCTCGGGTTCTGGGCCGTTTCTCATGGTTCTTCCTTCTTTCGTGTACCACTCACCATCCCTAGTTAATTTGAAATGGGTTGCTTTTTCAGCGTGAATTCGTCCTTTAACCAAATTCTGAACTAAGGCCTGCAGTGTCCATGAAAACATCTGCAACAGTACATTATAAGTTGAGACAAAATATTACAGGATGAGAGGTGCAAGTATGATGAGTAATGAATTGGTTGACTACATTTCGAAATGCTTTAATTTTTGTTGCCATTTAGGGTAAGCACTTCTCAGGTATGACATCCGTACTACCACTGTTAGTGTTTCTGAGAAGAGGTAGAACACGACTCGAAAATCGCATAACAGAATACGTTCTCTTTCGTTTCAATGCAATGCTGTCGTTCACGTATAGCAACACTTCAACAAAGAAACTTCCTCCTGCAACAAAGAAATCGTCCCGTCATGGATTATCCGTCCTTTTACGCCAATGATACACCGGCCGCTCCACGTGTATTCATTCTTGATCAAATCCTTGTTTTCGCCGTGTATGATTCTTCACCACACCCGCTTGTCATTGTTCTAATCTAAATGAACTCTCCATA